TACTGCAACCCCTGCGTCCTGGGTTCAAGGGATTCTCCTGCCTTAGCCTCCGCAGTAGCTGTGACTACAGGTACATGCCACCACACCCAGCTAATTTTTGTATCTTTAGTAGAAACGAGGTTTTGCCATGTTGCCCAGGCTGGTATTGCACTCCTGGGCTCAAGCAATCCACCCACCTTGACCTCCCAAAGTGCCGGGATTATAGGCATGAGCTACCATGCCCAGCCTAAATTAAAATTTATATGTATAAATCTATCAACATATGTACATCTGTGCGTAGATATGAGAATACAATAGTGGAATACATTCCCACATAATTATTAACACTAGTTACCTTTGGGACGAAGAGTGGAATTAAGGGTCAGGATGGGTAAGAATTTTTACATTTTACTTTATGTACTAATACATGTCTTAAATCGTCTGTGCTGAGAATATATGCATACAGTATTTCTGCACTTTCTACAAAAAAGAAAAAGAGAGGTATTCAAAAGAAGGGATTAACATGAGTGAGTATAAGTTAGGAATGAGTTTGCTTGCATGGCATGGTGAGGCATCTAATCTAATTATGGTCTAGGATGCTTCTAGGTGGAAATGAGAATTTAATAGGAATAATGGGTCTAAATTAAAGTGAAATTTGGAACTAGAAAGAAGAGTTAAGGTTTCATTCTGTAGCTTTAGTATTACTTAGGCTAGTTAAGATGCTAGAAAGGGCCATAAGACCTCAACGTCACCGCTGTGCAGTTGCTTTTGACCTTACGTTGCGGGTATGGTAAAAACCAAAGTGGGAGAAATTCCACAATACATCAAAAATTCTCCTTCAGTTTGTCAAATTTATTCAAAGTTGGCTTTGGTTTGTCATAGCAAACCTATCAGATGAGGTCAGAAAAGTTGGATTAGTTTCCAAAGGCAGCTTTTTGTTTTATTGCTTTTTCTTTTCTTTTTTTTTTTTTTAGAAAAAGGGTCTTGTTCTGTCATCTAGACTAGAGTGCAGTGGTGCAGTCATAGTTCACTGAAGCCTCGAACCTGTGATCAAGGGATCCTTCCAAGTAGCTAGGACTAGAGGTGTTCACCCATACACCCAGCTAATTTTTTTTTTTTAATTTATTTTTTGTAGAGGCAGGGGTCTTGCTATGTTGCCAAGGCTGGTTTTGAACTCCTGGCCTCAAGCAACCCTTCCACCTCAACCTCCCAAAGTGCTGAGATTAGTCATGGGACGCCACGACAGCCTAGCAGCTTTCTAAGGAAAGAATTGCAGGAGTCCCTCTATTTAGAAGAAGTTAGTTGGGCCTTAGCAGGCATTTTGAATTTTACAGGTTTCTTTCCATTACAGAACCACTGCAAGGAGAAGCTATATCAATCTAATAATGGGAAAGAACCTTTCAGATTGTCTTCCTTCCAGTGGCTCTCCATTTTTCTCAGATGAAATCCCACTTCCTCACCCTTGTTTAAAGGCCCTTTGGGGTGTCTTCTCACAGCAATGCCTTGGACCTACCCTGTCCCTCCTTCACTGATTCTGCCACAAAGGCAAACTGTCCCAATGCTCTTTCCACAGCCCAGCAAGGATGGTAAGCATTTCCATGGGCATTTGTCACTGATGACATGGTCATGCATTTGGCAAAGAAGGCTGTTCTCCTCTTTGCTACTCCTGCCTCCCATCCTCTTCTTAATAACTATGGAATAGCAGAGGCCAGACTTTTACTTTTCTTAAGACTGTATAATGGCTGGCTCATTTGGGAAAGGAAGTTCAATGTAAGAAAGGGAAATAGAACTGCCACTAGCAGAGGCTATTTTGGGAGCCCATAGGCTCCAGCCTTCCTTGGAATCCATCATAGGGCTTCTTGTTGGCTTCGTTCCTGGCCTGCAGCCATTGGTGGGGCCGATTTACTTCCTAGTGAGGCTTCTGTACATACTTCTTTCTTTATGTTCAAATCAATTGCTGAAAGGCTTGGAGAGAGGAAAAAGTTTCTCACCTTAGATGAATTAACCCCTTTGTGCCTGTTTCCTCTTTTGTAAAATGAGAAAAATAACAGCTCATATATACACGGTTATTGTGAATATCAAATGAGTTACTATAGGTAAAGCTTTTAGAACAGTGTCTAGCAGTTCTGGATAAATGTTAATGAATTCTGGACAGGTTCTGGATAAATGTTAATAGTAAGTTCTGTATAAATGTTAGTTATTAATACCCACACCACACTATTGAACTTAATGCCACATGTCCATTACCTCACACTTCCACAGTTGGGTCTTTTGGTGTAGGCAAAAAAATTTTATTTTTCACGAAGAAATTCTATCTGTTGGCTTGGAATCATTATTCTAAACTGGTGGAATTTTTTCCATAGAGTCTATCATCCAACAGATAGATTATTATCTTCAATTTAGTATGGGATACCACCATGCTTCTGAATGCACATGTGTGTATGTTGTGTGCTCATGAGTGATTAAGGAAGGACAGAACTGTCTCGTCTTAAAGGTGCTTATAGTTTTTGATAAAAGAGGTATGTTGAGCACAGGTAATATAAATATTTAAATATTTGGAGATGGGGCAAGGTAAAGAGAGGATCCTGGATGTGGGCTGACTTTGAGCAAATTGTTCCACAAAGATCTAGCTGGGAAGATTCTTGGGTGAAAGATCTAGGTTGGTATAGTTTTCATTAAGGAAACTTATCTTGCAGAAATCCACACTAGATAGAAAGGTTAGTTTTTATTTTTTAATGTTACTCCTTCAAATTTAAAAATATTTATTAAATATATCACACCTTAACGTCATGAACAGAGTGAGATTAGCTTTGTTTAACCAAAACAGGGCAGCCTGTGAAGCTTAAAAAAAAATCAAATATAGGGTAAGTCACAAGAAGGCGTATTATAAGCAGTGAGCAGTAAACTAAGAGCTGATCTACACAAAAAAACATTTGGTGGCTTTAAAACTATTTCACACTTATTTGTAGTAAGGGTTTTACTTGGAGAATGCAAGACTTGTGGCTAGATAACCATAAAATAAATTCTGGTGAGTTACTAGGCTTTCAGCCTTTCAGAGAAGTTAGAGCACATAATGGAATAAGAAATACTAATGATTCCCAGTGGTGACGTGGAAGAGAAGAAAGTGTTTTTGGCAGCCAAAGGGCTTACACAAAGCAACATATCCAGGAAGGACTAAGGGCTTGACCCTGTCCTACCCTAGACAGGAAACATTTCAGGAGAGGGCTGAGCAGGAGAGACATGGCCTATTGTGACTGTGGCTCTCCTTTACATCAAAGGCTGCAGTGGATCTCGATAATGCAGAAGAATGTTTCCTTTTATAACTCACAGTGAATATGGCTGCACAACAAAACTATTTTGTAATTTCTCTCCTGAAATATAAAGGAGTTAGAACATAGGATCTTTTATTGATTCTCTAGAATCTTAAGACTCCTTCAGGGATGGCAGTCATTCCTGCCATGCTCAACATCATGCTGTCACCGTCAGAATCAGAACTAAATTGATTAGGGGTCTGAAACAGTTTGGCAACTCTTGGGCACTTATGCTGATAAGAAAGCTGATGAGAACAGGGTAATGAAAAGCAGCTGCAAGAAATGACCATTCATGCATTCAGCCAACATTTAGGCCACCCTCCTGTATTCCAGGCACTGTACATGGCACTGAGAATGCAAAGCAAAACGAGACACGGTCTACTGGCAGCAGCCTTCTCAGTGGAGAAAAAATCAACCAGAAAAGTGCCTGCCTGCTGGAGACCTCTCCTAGGGCATAAGCCAATATAGAGGTGGGGCAGCTACGTCAGCCTGAGGTGTCCTCAGGCAGAACAGAAAGTGAGAATCAGAGCAGTGTCTCATTTCTAAACACCAGGATTGTAGCTTTCCCTTGACTGTCAAAGGGGGTGGTTTTTAAAAGCAAGCCTAACAGGTTTCCATCTTTTAGGAAGACCCCGGAACGTGCCAGTGGATTCTGACAATTTCTCATGAACAGAAATACCTAGGAAGGGAGAACTGGTGAGTCTTTGCAAGTGGAGGAAGTCCCTCAAAAGGGGCTATGTTTCATAAACGGCGCCCCGAAGGAGCAGAACTACTTCGACCTGGAGGAAAAAGACTCAGGCACTGAGGGAAGGGGAGGGTGCACGTCTGGAGTAATTTCAAGGCTTTTTCCGTGTTGTGTGAAGTGGCAACAAGGAGAGATTTGTTCTTTTTATTTATTTTTGTAATTTTTAAAGATTTTCTTTTCCCCCCTTTTCTCCTCCCAGCCACTCCGGTTTGGGTTTGCCACATGACTCATAATTCCTTTCGAAAGTGGAGCCGAATTCATAAAAGTGATGGGGGGAGGGGTGCGGAGAGCGAAGGCTGGGAGCCCCAGGGAGTCTTCACTACCTACACCGCCGCTCAGCTCCCGGCGCGAGTGGAGGTCGGGGTGGGGAGACGCGGCTCGCGCCCGGGATGGCGGATACTCTGCGAGCCCCGGCGGCCCGCGGCCCGGCCGAGTGACGAGGCGGCGGGCGCGGAGGGTCTGCGGCGGGCGGGAGGCGCTGCAGCAGCCTGGGCACGGCCGCCGCCGCCCGCGGGCGCGAGTGTGCGCGGGTGTGGAAGGCCGGCGTGCGGGCCGCGAGGGGTGTGCGCGCGTGAGCCGGAGCGGGGCTTGCCCCTCGCCGGCGCCCGCCGCCCCGCCGGTGATAGCTCTCCGGCCGTCCCCAGCACCCTGGGCCCCCCACGGCCGTTGGTCCGGGCGGGGGAGGGAGAAAGTGAGACTCGGTGTCATCACCATCCATTGTCAGAAGGGGAGGAAATTGGAATCCAGCAGCGGCGAGCAGCAGCTGGGCGGTCACATCTGGGAATGCAAAGCCGACCTCCCCCCCCTCCTCCTCCTCCACCTCCTCCTCCTCTCTCACCCAGGATCACTTCCGAAACCACTTCGCCTTCAGCCCCTGCCTCGGCCAGAGGTTTCATTTTTATCTGAATATTTGCGAAAGCTGGAAGCGTGCGAGGGGGGTGGGGTGGGGTGGAAATAGCGGCTGCTTCTTTTCCAGGGATTTATTTAATGGGGATGTGTTCAAGGCAAGAGCGAATTCAGAAGGATATCGACGTCGTGATCCAGAAGTCCAGAGCCGAGAAGGACTGCCTGTTTGCAGGTGAGTTCTTGCTTTTCCAGAACCTCGGACCCAGCGCCCCCTTCCCAGTTTTCCGACAGCGACGTGTGTGGCTGGGGGTGGGGTGGAGGGTTGCACGTCCCCATTCTGGGGTTCATTTGGCAACAGCTGCTGCAACGGGAGACGGAGCCAAAAGGGGGAGGGGGCGCCAGCCTCTCCCCTTCCCTTCCCCCCCACCCCCAAGTCTGGGGCAGCCTCCAGCTTTGAGGACAGAACCCGCGTGGCCCGAGCGGGGGTCTAGGCTAAGGGGAAGTGCATGATATTTCCAGCCCAGCTTAGTGCCCGAAGCCTCCAAGCCCGCCTCCTGGGTTCCAGTAGCGGCGAGCGCGGTTGGTTGGACCCGCCGGGTTTGCGCAATGGGCTGAGCGGCGGCGGCCAGGAATGGAGCCCGCTGCGCTGCGCTGCGCTCCTCAGCTGCGCCGGGCGCCGAGGACCCCCGGGGGCAGCGCTCGGCGGATTCCCGTCCCCTTCGGCTGCCTCTAGTCCCTCCGACTGGCGAACAGAAGGGATTCCTCGGATTCCCAAGGCACCCAGTGCCCCTGCTTGGGGGTCGCCTTTCGTCCATTTTGCTCCCCCGGGAGAGGGATCGGATTTTGCTCTAGCTGCCGCGAGCCCGGCGGGGGCTGCTTCCGGCCTCCCCGACCGGGAAATTCCCGCCGTTGCCATGACACCCGGCACTTGTTGCGGGGGGCGGCCTCCCGCTGCACCCAGCCGGGGGCGCGCAGCATCCCCTCGGACGTGGCGCGGAGATGGGACCTCGCCGCCCTCCTCCCCTCGCCTCCCGCGCGGTCAGGCCTCCCCTGACGCCACCGAATGGGGGGCCCAAGTCATGATCCGGGTTAAAACAAACGCACTCCAGGGGTAGCTTTTAACAGGACTTTCTGTTTCAGATTTCAGATACTCAGACTCCACCTTTACTTTTACCTACGTTGGCGGCCCCAGAAGGTATTTATGTGTATAGAGTTGCTTCATTTCCTGTTCACACGCTTGTGTTTCCTTTGTTCTGAGCGTGTTCCGTGTTCGGGTATTTTGGTTGCTTGTTTGTTTGATTATTGTGGGTGTTCTTTACCCACTACCCAAGCCTGGCGTCCCTCGGATTTAAATAGCGGGGAGAGGGGGGTGGAAATCAATGTTTGGTGATTCTGGTCTTTCCTAGACCACGCCACAGGCAATGAGCAGAACTCTTCTTGTTCAAACTGTTCGGCTACAGTACTAGATTGCTCTCAAGCGATTTGGGGTTGATACAATCAAGCCGGTGTAAAACTGGAATACTGGATATGAAATGTATAAAAGACATAACATGACACAGAATAGTTTGAGCACAAGTGATGATTTTCCTGCTGAGTTGGGGCTGCACGTTTCCATGTTTTCTGAAGGTTCACTTAAACATGCAGCCTGCCAATTCTCTATACAATTTTTTTTTCAGTGAGTAGTATTTCGGTTCTCCTGTTTAGTTGTAAGAGATAAATTAGAGACTTCTATGTAGCTGGAGTGGATAACTTCTTTCTTTTGGGGGGAAAATGAGAGATACACATTTTGTTAGTAAATTGTGAACAACTTTAAACAAGCCCAAATCCAATTTTGTATTTAGGAAAAAGAGTTAAAATGCAAGGTAGCCAGTCAAATACTATGCCTTGCTGCCTTCACTTGTGAGGTTAGGATTTCTTCCTTTTAGCCCTTTAGGGACACAATAGTTTAAAAGAGCAGTGGCCACATCAGAGATGTGTCAGATTTAGCCTAGAGGGGATTCCTCAGACCAGCCCTGCTATTAAGACTTGACATTCAATATTGTTTGACCACATTCCAAAATATCTCTTAGCTAATGGAAACATTTATAAACATATAAGTTGCAAAAGAAGCTATCTTGTGTACATACATTTTAAAAAACTTGAAATTGATGTGAACTTTTAAAAACACCAGATCTGTATTACATTCTACATCTCAAAACAAATTTAATTAAAGTGAGTATCATTCCAGTATATAAATACCTAAGTCCCAGAATTGGCACATTGATTTACTAGTTGAAAATATAACAGTGAATCACCAAACTTCAGTGTCTACTTTTTGGGAAAGAATGAAATTACAGTATTTCTTAATTTACTTTAATGTCATCTTCGTAATTATGAATTAAAAATTCAGTGAGAGACTTTATTAAATTAACGCTGTTCCTACACATCATATCTAAAGGATCTTTCTGTATGACTAATATCCTCTTGGATTATTTTAACATTATTTAAAATTATTACATTATTTTAAATAATAAACTAAAAAAAGAAATTTTAATAAATTTATTAAAATTGTTAAAGTATTATTTAAAATGTACAAAGTGGTCCATTAAAAACAGAATTCACTGTTTTCACTATTGCTGTTTTTCTGGTGAGACATGTGGATAGGAAGGCCCTGGTTGGGCTTTTTAACTAACTAGCTTTCTGATTTTCAGTAAGATACCTCAGTTCTTTTGGCCTCACTTAACTTACCTGTACAATCAAGGGGTAAATCATTTGCTTAATTTCTAAGATCTGTTAGATACTGCAGTTAAGATTCTTTATCAGTAAATTACTGAACTCTAGTGTTAACATAGCTAGAGGTGGAAAAGGGAGCAAAGCCCCTGTTGGGATGAATAATTAACTAATTGAGATAACATCAGTTTTCACCATAGGAACAAATACTGTGGTTGCTCTTAAAGTAAGAGATGTTTTCTATTTTATGTACTTCTGTTAAGGGATAGTGTTTTCTTTTGTCACTGATGTAAATGTACCTGGATGTTTCTCAGCCATTTGTCTAAGAAATCAAGTGCAAGGGTACCTGGGCCTTTTATATCTAATCTAATGTAGATCAGCTTGTTAAAAGAGAGAGACAACTGGTTAAACTGCTGATGTGTTGCTTTGTCTTCTCAAAAGCTTGTTCTATCATCCATACAATATGTTGAAAGTTGTTATAGTGTAGTAACTGTAGATAATCCCTTTATGATTTGTACCTAGTGGCGGAGAAGGTATATAATGTGTTTTTCTGAAAATAATGTGTTTGTTTTCATTACCGACATTAGAAACCAATATTTATTAATCTATTTCTCATCCTGACATTTCAGTCAGGACTCTTAAAATAATCTTGCTGTATTTTGATTTAATGTGCTTATCAACTTATAATATTAAATTAATAGTGTCATTTTAGGTGAACTAGACTTCATCATTGAAAAAGGTAGGAGCCTTATGGAGAGACAGTTTATAATTATCTCTAATTGTATTTAATTACCATCTCATCTAACCATTAAGAACATATTTCAAGAATAATTTTTAATTCAAGTTGTAGATAAAACTTAATTTGCCATTTTCTCTTTGACACTTCCCAAGAATGAGTTATACAGTATTTTAAAGACAAAGATTGATCTTACATGTCACTATTCAAAAAAAAGAAATAATATGCAAATTGGGGTCTACACGTATACTTTTTAATTTTTCTGTGGATAAGAAAAAATGCCAAGAGGTGACTGTGTCCATGCTGGCAAGTGGCCTAATAAATTGTCCTTTCATTTGGTGGTCTTCAGAATGGCAGCTAACATCTTGCTATTCTGTCTTGTGGACTTGAAGTGGGAAGGTTCATGGAATTATATCCTTGCTTTTGCATGTGCAAACTGAGACTCAGATGGTTTAAGACCCATTGTTACTTTCACCAGGTAAATGATAGAGCTGCCCTGTAAACCTGTTTTGACACACTCCCGGGACCTCCTTTTTCTCCATTAATGTTCTCAAGCTTTTTGAGCATGCAAACCCTTTACCATCAAAAAATTATGTAGAGACATACTTGAGAGTTACAGTTTAAAGAAAAACAAGTTGTAATAATTTGGTTATTAGTAGCATTTATGTCTGCTTGAAAACTTGTGCTATATATATGGTAAGATTAATTTATTCTAATAATGATCTTGATAATCCCCCTGATTCCCAGACTCCTTGGAATAGCTCCACAGCTACCAGTGGTTCTGCCTCAGGTTCAGAGCCTTCCCAGTACTGCCTTCTTATTTGAGAGGTGTGCCAAGAACTATAAAGCAGAGGCTTCAATTGTACACAATTTGGAAGTTTATGCAAAAGTAATTTCTTCCCTATACTTTGTCATGCTTATCTCCTGTCTCTTTCTGTTTTACTGATTAGCAATAAACTCCTTAAAACCCAAAGATTGGGGCTTCTGTTTCTTTAACTTGCACTCAAACATGGAGTTAGTGGTAGAAGAAACAGAAGGGGTAACTTACATAGTGACAGCTACTGAGGGAATGGATAGGAATCCAGACTCAGTCCCTGGGGCCAGTGTTTACGAAAGCCAAGGAGAGAGCAAGGGGAGCCCAGTGGGCCTGGCCATGGACTGCTCTGGGATTTCGAGTGTGAGCTTTCAGCCAGGAATGTATTGTGAAAATATTACTGTGAGATTTTAAAAGTACACAAATAAGAATTGTTTGTTGTAAAAAAAAAGTTAGAAAAAGAGATGTGCTGAAACGAAGTAAAAAATACGTGATTTCTGTTTTCTGTTAACATATTAAAATTTATTCTTTTAGATTTTTTGTATGTCTATATACATATAAAATATATATGCACCCCCAAATTGTATTATACTCTTTTGAGACCTCACATTTTTTTTCACTCAAGAATATAACATTGATTTCTTTCCTTTAGAAAAGACATGAGACTAAAGAATGTTTATTAAGTTGAGAGTTTCCCAATCAAGGAGTATGACTCTGTATAACAATAAATCTTATGTTTATATTAGAAATTATAATAAAATTAGAAATTTAATATTTGGCAGACTGTTGTGAGTTGCCTGCATATGCACACCCTTTATTATATGACTAGACACTCTTTTATGTGGTCCCGGATATATTGGCATCTTTTGAAGTGTATCCTTTTTTGTTTTAGGAGCTTCTGTCTAGATAAATAGCAAATGTGACACTGATAATAGTAATCTAATATTCCTCAAAGCACAGGCTCCCTCTTTCTCCTGAGCCTTTGTACACGCTGCCTGGAACACTCAGCTACAACCTACTTTCCATCCTTTCCTCTGGCTCATCCCTGCTCTAAGCCAAATTCTCTGAGAAGCCTTTCCTGTCATCTTCCTCTGTGTGATTCTTCTAGGTGTTTCTAAAACTGTGTTGCTACAGTATATTGTAATTGCCCATTTACGTCTGTTTGACTGTGAGCCTCTTGGAGATGGGAGTTCTCTCCTATGCCTTGCAGTTTCCCCAGCCTCTAGCACACTGCCTAGTCCAGTATTCCTTCTCAGTAAGTAGGTGTTGAATGACTTACAAAATGAATGCTAAAAGATCTGGAAGGCAAGAAGGAATTTCCTAGCCTAAATAACCAGGTGTGGAGAAGATGCTCAAACACTTCAGAGTCCCCAATCTGGTGATGTCAATTGCTATGGAATTTCATATAAATCCAGTGTGGCAAAAGTTGCCTAGTCAAATTCTAAGTCCTTTTCTCTGGGTCACATATTCAAATATTTTTAGGGGACAGATAATGCAATATTTCAGATACTAGTGAGTAATAAGGACTATGGCACACTGGAGAGTTTGGACTCCAAGAATAATTAATTCAGTTGGAGAAATCAACAGTGCTTTGGTGACCAAGCAAACTTTCTAGGGGCTCTAATCCACCTGGGCCCCCAGTGTGTAATTCCAGAACTCAAGGGATGCCATCAAGGGAGACAATCTAATCGATTGCTAGAGGCCCTTTGTTTTCTTTGAAGTTGTCTAGAAGGGAGGAGTGTATGTGTGTGCAGGGGTGGGGAG